CTGCAATAGGACGAGTTCTTTGGGTATATGCCAAGGAGTGGTATAACTGGGTCAAATGGTAGGTTCATTTGTAGTTTTTTAAGAGTTTTCCACACTGCTTTCCAAAGGGGTTGAACAGGTTTTAGCTGAGATTTAAAAAAAAAAAATCTGGGGGCTGGAGAGATGGCTCAGGAGTTAAGAGCACTGACTGCTCTTGCAGAGGACCCGAGTTCGATTCCCAGCACCCACATGACGGTTATGAACCATCCATAACTACAGTTCCAGGAGAATCCAAAGCCCTCTTCTGACCTCCGTGGCATTGCATGACACGAGTGCACTCACATACATGGAGGCAATACACTCATACACATAAAATAAAAATAAATAAAATAAAAAAATAAAAAATCTGAAACCTCAGCCTTGGAGCCGAGAGATGGTCAGTGGGTAAGAACACTTGATGCACAACATAAGGATCTGAGTTCAGATCTCCAGAACCCTTGTAAAAACTAAGTCGGGTGTGATCATGCACATGTAGGTGCCTGTAATTGCAAACTATGGGGAAGGGAGACAGGAGGAGGATTGCTGGGGCTTAATGGCCATCAGCCTAGCCCCAGGTTCAGTGAGAGATGGTCTCTCAAAAGAATAAGAGTGGTAGAACAAGATATCCAAATGTAAATAAATAAGTAAACCCTCAGCCTTGTAAGCTGCATTTATAGAAGGTAATAGCTGTATTATAAATTATACTATAGCCCACAAAAAAAGTAAAATCTAATGTACAGGCCCCAAATCTACAAATTTTTGTAGTTTGACCTGATGAGTTCAATTCACATTAACTAATTATACAGATATAAGTTGTTATACTGTATATTCCTGAACTTAATTATCATTGATTTGGATAAATAAGATTAATTAAAATTTTTTTGATTTTTTTTTTTTTTTTTTTTTTTTCTCGGTCTTTTTTAGGTCTCCCTGTAGCCCCAGCTGGCCTGGATTCGCTATGGAGACCAGGCTGCCCTCAAACTCACAAAGATCTGCCTGTCTCTGCCTCCCAAGTGCTGGGATCAAAGGTGTGCGCCACCATGCCCAGCTGATTTTTATTTTATGAGTGTTTTGCCTGCATGTAAGTGCTTATATGTATTCAGTGCCCAGAGAGACTAGACGAGGGTATCAGATCCCCTGGAATTGGAGGACAATTGTTTGCCACCATGTGGGTGCTGGGAACTGAACCCAGGTCTTTGAAGTAAATATATATTCCCACATGCTTGCATCTTCTTTTATAAAGCTAGCTTTTGGGAACTGTGCTCACAGTGATGAATTATCCAGGAGAATCGCCTGTTTCTGCTGTTCAGAGATGATGCAAAATGCATTTGCCTGCACATTATTTCTGTAAAGCTGATTTTAAAATGATACTGAAGTTTTCTTTGCCTGTTGTTTCTAGCCCTCTGTTTTCTGTCTTTGGTTTAAACCCCAAGGGCCCAGAGGCTTTCTCCGATGCCTGGTTCTTTGTGCTCTGAGCTCCTTCATGTTTGGGTGGCACGTCCATGAAAAAGCCATTCTTCTTGCAATTCTCCCAATGAGGTAAGCAGAGTCAGCTTTTCTGTGTATGTCACCGTGTCCTGCTGTTTCCCATTCACTTCACTCCTTCCTGTCACATTCAGTGGAAAGGGATGGGCAGTGACAGAAGCACAGATTTCCATGAGGACAGATCGGGCTTGCTTAACTTGGATCCTTAGATGCAGGTTCTCAGGTGCGCAAACATACATGTATTGTTCCTGTATTTTTGATGATTGAATACCAGGACTGGTCTGGATGTTGGGTGGCAGTGTGGGTTGGGAAAGGCTAGGCTTTTGGGTATTATCACATCTGTGAAAATAAAATGCTGTGATTCCTTACTATATTTGTTAGTCATGGTAAGGAGTGTGGCCACATGGAAGAATTCCATTACATTTGTATCACATTTTATGCTTTTCAGAATTCTTTGTTTGCTTCCTTGTCTCTTTATTTTTGCATGCTTTATTTTGAACTTCTCAATAACTCTTAAGATAATTAGGAGCCAGGTGTGGTGGCACACACCTTTAATCCCAGCACTTGGGAGGCAGAGGCAGGCAGATCTCTGTGAGTTTAAGGTCAGCCTGGTCTAAGTAGTGAGTTCCAGGACAGTTGGGGCTACAGGGAGACCCTGTCTCAAAAAAGACCAAAACAAAGACAATTAGGGTAAACTGATATCATCCCATCTTAGCATCTATAGAAACAAGGGCACAGAGAGTTTTTGACTCCTGATGCAAAGTCATACAGTTAAGCCCTTCTCCCTTCTTGATATCATATGCTTTTAGTGCTCAGCATGGAGGCTGAGGCAAGAGGATCATGAGTTCCTCGTGGGCCATGTAAAAAGACTGTCCTAAAAACAAAGTCACACAGCTAGCAAGTAGCAGTTAGAATTTCAACCTGGTCTTATATTGCTGGGTCTTGTGATCTTTTCACTTTGCTTTGCTTAAGAAAAAAGTGTTGTAAATGTAGTACAGTCCATTTTGTGCATAAAGCCCAGTAGATACACAGTAATAGAATCAGCTTTTTTTCTATTTTTGAGGTTTTTCTCAATTTTTTTTTTTAATACTCTGATTCCGTAGCAAGATCAGTATTTTATGCTTAGGCCAGTTCTAGAGATAGTACTAATAGATAGAACTTATTCAGCCTCTTTGCAAGCACATTTCTAGTTGTGTTATGGTATTATTATAAGATTCTTTGTTTTTAGCATTTTGTCTGTGGACAAAGCCAGCGATGCATCTATTTTTCTGGTTCTGACCACAACAGGACATTACTCCCTCTTCCCTCTGCTCTTCACTGCACCAGGTAAACAGCTTCTCTTTACAAAGATACAGTTGATTCCCATGCCCTCGAGACTAGAGACCAGTACTCTTTAATTTAAATCATTCTGAAATCTCCTGGAAGGAGAGGTTTTGTCCATTCCTTTAAATAAATCTCCAGTTTGTCCCTGATTTTAGATATATTTAGATGTCTCAGAAATGAAGAGTTATAAACATGGCATTTTTATGTGTCAGTGTGTCAATTTATCACCTCAATTTTTTCTTTTAACAGAACTTCCCATTAAAATATTCCTCATGTTACTATTCACTATTTACAGTATTTCCTCACTGAAGACACTATTCAGGTAATTCTAAAAGTACTTTTAAGATTATAGTCACTCTTGTGAAATGTTTACTCTTAAATGGTCAGAGAAGCCTTTAAAATTTATTTTTTAAGTAGGGGCTGGAGTTTAGGGCTTGCTGTGCAAGGAGAACCTAAGTTTGTATCCCTAACAGCCATGTAAAAAAGCCAAGCAAGCACTGCATGCACCTCTAATCCCAGCTCTGGAGAGGTGGAAACAGGAGGATCCCTGGGGCTTTTGCTGATCAGCCATTGTAGTCAATCAGTAGGCTTCAGGTTCATCAAGAGACCCTGTGCGTCGGGGGGGTGCATTCATGTATATGTATGTATATGAGTTTGTAGATCCTGTCTCAAAAAATAACATGAGCTGGGCGTGGTGGCTTATGCCTTTAATCCAAGTACTCAGGAGGCAGAAGCAAGGGGGTCTCTGTGAGATCAAGTCTAGCCTAGTCTACATAGCAGGTTCCAGGCTAGCTGGGGCTACAGGGAGACCCTGCCTCAACAACAAACAAACAAACAATAAATAGGATAGAAAAGCAATTAAGGAAGACGCCTGACTTCTGCCTGTAGCCTCCACATGCATGTGCACACATGTACACACATACACAATTATTTTTAAGTTTCAGCAATATTTGATGAGGGAGAAATTACCCACAGTCCTGTCCTTCTGAAATGATGGCATAAGTTGTGACTTTTTTATAAGATTTCATTTTAAATTTTTATGTGTGTCTATCTGTGTAAATGTATGTGGGTGCCCATGGAGGCCAGAAGAAGGCATCAAATCCTCTGGAGCTGGAATCCCAGGTGGTTATGTGCCACCTGGTATATGTAGGTGCTGAGAACCAAACTTAGGTTCTTTGCAAGAGCAGCAAGTGCTCTTAATCTCAGAGCAATCTCTCTAGGCTCATAAATTGTGTCTTAATTTGGGGGATTATTTGAGAAAGACTACCCAGCTTTAAATTACTGTTGAAAAATAAATGGAATATGAAATATGCATTTTGCATAAAATTATAAGGCTACAAATACAAATGGAAAAAAACATACCATGTAAAAATTGTTAGATAATTGTAGGTGGAAATTTTTTGCCTTCTAAATTTTATGTAATATGATTTCTATAAATTATTAAGTTTGTCCTGGTTCATGTCTGATTATGTCTATAAAAATTCATATAATTAATTATATTTAAAACTAGATATGGTGACACAGCACTTATTTTGTGTGTATGGGTGTATTGCCTGCATATATGTTAGTGCACCTGTGTCATTCTGAACCAAGGAAGTCAGAAGATGGTGTTGGAGCCCCTGGAACTAGAGCCACAGATGGTGCTGGGAACCAAACCTGAGTCCTCTGGAAGAGCAGCCAGTGCTCTTAACCGCTGAACTGTCTCTCCAACCCATGTTTGATTCTATTTCTATAAGATCTAGAATAGGCAAATCCACAGGGATAGAAAGTAGATTAGCGGTTGGGGACTGGGAATAGAGACTTGATCCTATGGCTTCTGATCCGGATCATGAAAATGTTTTGAAATGATTAGTAGTGATAGCTACACGTTATCAGTGTGCCTCAAAAAATGGTTAAAACTTAAAAGCCAGCTATGGTGGCGCATGCCTTTAATCCCAGCACTCAAGAGGCAGAGACAGGCAGATCTTTGTGAGTTCAAGGCCAGCCTGGTCTACATAGTGAGTTCCAGGCCACCTGGGGCTACAGGGAGACCCTGTCTCAAAAGGAACCCCCTCCCAAAAAATAGATAGATAGCTGCATGGGTCGGTGATGGGTGAATTTGGACTGCTGAGATAGAAGGGTAGGGAGAAAGAGGAGAGAGAGGAGAGAGAGAAAGAGAGAGAGAGAGAGAGAGAGAGAGATAGAGAGAGAGAAAAGAGAGATTTAACATTTTAAGGGAAATTTAGTGTAACCTTCTGACTTTAGCCTTGGCCATCATTCAGCCAGACAGTGCAGATGGGAAAGCCTTTAGCTGGGAATGTTTGCTAAACCAGAGCTTGACTTGTCTAAAATGAGACTTTCCTTTTCTTCAGAAAAGAAAAACCTCTTTTTAATTGGATGGAAACATTCTATCTCCTTGGCCTGGTGCCTATGGAAGTCTGCTGTGAATTTGTATTCCCTTTTACCTCTTGGAAACTGACGTACCCCTTCATCCCTTTGTTGCTGACCTCAGTGTATTGTGCAGTGGGCATCACATATGCCTGGTTCAGGCTGTATGTATCAGTGTTGACTGGCTGTCTGGTCGGCAAGACAAAGAAGCAGTGACTAGAGGAGCGATCTGGATGTGGGCCAAGCAGTTACTCCACAGGGTATTGATCAGAACTTGAAGAAAGTTGCCAGTGGCATGATCTATTCATTTCAGTAAATCTGTTTAGAGGACCATTCTTCCACACTTGGCCTTGCCCTGCTTAGCAACCTGATTGTTACCATGGTGAGAAGCTACTTGCCCTCCATAAGCAGCAAAACATGTCTGAGCAAACTCTTGCCTTCCTCTGTTAAAGTAGTCTGCAGTCATTCAGACTGCTGTGCCTACCGAAGGTAAATGGGGATGTGATTCACAGCATGGTTGTCTGTAGCTGGTGCTGACTGTTCAGGATGTAAAGCATAATTGGATTCGACATCATAGGGAAATATAAATAAAGTGCATTTTGTATGTACACACAGAGTATTTTTGGATCCTTACCAGCTCTTAGATTTCCCTTCCTGTTGGTGTGCACATGGGCACATGATGTACCATGCCTGTCCAGCATAACTTGTTCCAGGAGAGGTTTTTTTCATTGAAATTATATACTCAGCAAAGCCAGGGGGATATATAAGTCAGGGCCAAGCCACAGGCTGCAAGCCACATCTACTTTCACACCAACTGAAGAGCATCTTCTGAGAGCAAGCAGTGCAGTTTTCATAAGGTTGCCACGTAAATGTTTCTTTCCTTTTGTGAACAGCTCAGTCTCTTCCCCTTTCTTGACTACTTCATATAGCCTGTAGGGCCTCAGTTTCCCCACCACATGCTACACATTCAAATCCAGCCAAGATGTCTAGCTGATACCAGAATTTTCACATAGTGTATTATCCCCTAAGAAGAGGAGAGAAAGTCCAAGGTCAGTGTCATCCTGAGATGCTAATCCATTCATCCCATCTAACAAATCAGCTCTGTTTTCTCAAAGATCTTTTGGGTCTTATTGTAATGGTACAGATGGGGATTTTGCAAAACAAAAAGGAAAATCTACTCCTCTAGCCTGTTTCCTTTATACCCTATGTGCACTCAACATTACCAAAAAAATTTTTTACAGCTGTCATATCTATGAATATAAGCACAGCGTAGTGATTAAAGTAGGGGCCTGGGGCCTGGGGCCTGATAGTGCATGCCTGGTTAGAAATTCTGTTTTCATTTTCTAAAAGAAAGTTTTTATTGGGGCCAGGCATGGTAGTGCACACCTTTAATCTCAGCAGAGGCAGGTGGATCTCTGTGCGATTGAGGCCAGCCTGGTCTACATAAGCAAGTTCCAGGCCAGCAGTGGCTACAGGGAGACCCTGTCTCAAAAAGACCAAAATAACCCAAAAGCTTTTTATTGCATTTATTTATTTAGTGTATATGTGTGCACACACATGCATGGGCATGGGCATACCATGGCTCAGGTGTGGAGGTCAAAGATCAACGTGAGGGAGTAGACTATCCTCTCCACCACATGGGGCTCAGATTGAAGGGTCACCAGATTTAGCAGCAAACACCTTTAACCACTGGGCCACGTCACCTACACCTCTCCTCTCCTTTTTTAAAAAAAATTATAGGGTCTGGAGAGATGGCTCAGCAGTTAAGAACACTGGTTGTCCTTGCAGAAGACCCGGGTTCAAATCCCAGCACCCACATGGCAGCTAACAACTGTCCATATCTCCAGTCCCAGGGGATCTGACAGCCTCTTCTGACCTCCTCCAGCATTGCATGACACGGGTGCACTTACCTACATGCAGGCAATACACGTATACACATAAAATTTTAAAAATAAATAATTTTTTTTAAAGTTAATTTTTTTTTGGATTATTTAACTACTCTTTGCTTCAGTGTCCTCTCTAAAATGATTACATTAAAAAATAAAATTAGAAACACCGAGGCTGGGCATGGCGCATGCCTTTAATCCTAGCACTCCCGAGGCAGAGGCAAGTGGATCGTGGGATTTCAAGGCCAACTTAGTGAGTTCCATCTACATAGTGAGTTCCAGGCCAGCCAGAGCTATATAGTGAGACCCTGTCTCAAAGAAACAAAACAGAAAAATGAAGCACTTCCTGAAACATTTTTAGTGTTCAGTGTATATCAATTGCTACTTAACTGAGTCCTTTCCCTCTTCTTCCCCCTCCCCCAAAATTGAGTACCCACCACATGCTCTCACTGCCAGGGATCTGCTGCCATGGATAGCTATAATTCTTGAATGTTTTTATCTGTGTTACTCGGGAGACCACACTTATATTCTTGGTTTGAAGTAAAGATCCTAGCACTTAGGAGGTAGAAGCCAAAGGATAAAGAGTTAGGGACATCCTTGTCTACATGGGTTTGAGGTCAGCTTGGGCTACATGAAATCCTGTTTCAGGAAAAAAAATTAAATGGAGCCAGCAAGTTGTCTCAGCAAGTAAAGATATTTGCCACCAAGTCTACCATCTGAATTTCAATCTCCAGAACTCACATGGTAGGAGAGAACTGACTCTCCCAGTGTTGTCCTCTGACCTCCACATGTATGCTGTGGCATGAATGCCCCCTCACAAACACACATAAATAAATAAATGTAATTTTAAAAAATCCCATTTTTTAAAGAGACTCACTAGTACAAACATTAACACAAAGGACCCAGTGTTACCTCCTCCTATTTTTGCCAATTGTTTATGCAACCCCCACCCCTCCCCCATCATCCAAACCAGCTAAAACTAAAAGATAGATTTGGATGAAGTGAACTTAGATCCAAGGCCACATTGAGTGCTTTGCAGGTTCCTCTGAAGGCAGTGAGACGGCAGAAGTTTCATATAGTCTGAGAAGATGTAGCTCTCTCCTCCCACAGGAAATGTGCTTTGGTCTGTTTTGCATGTCAGGCTTCATATTTGTTTTCCCTTAACCTCAGGAATCAAAGTTAAATGTAAGTCAACTCCTTATATTAGTGGGAGAAAAATGGCTTGAGAAACAGGAATGCTGCTTTGGCCCCAACACAGACTAGAACCCAGCGTTCTGTCCACTCTCCGCGTTCTTTTCCAAGCCCTGCACCTGGGATTCATTCATACTTTTAAACTTTGCAGAGATGTCAGTGTTTTTTGACAACAAACTCCTTTTTAGAAGATATGGAGAGCTGCAATTCAGTGGTCACGTGCCTAGTGTAGCATGGCATGGGCAAGGCCCTGGGTTCATTCCCCAACACCAGAAGAAAAGCAAAAAATTACTTAAATACAAGTAAAAGTGTTATTTCAAAATGTTTTGAAATCTAGAATTAAGCAAAGTCAAGAACAAGAAAAGAGTCTGCAGATGGCTCAGTAGGTAAAGGCACGTGCTGCCAAGCCTGCTAACCTAAGTTCAAACCGTGGGACCCGTATGGTGGATGGAGAAAATGAGTTCCTTCAAGTTCCTCTGACTTCCACACCCACACACATACACAAAATAAATAAAATGTAATTTAAATTTGAAAAAAGTTTTATGTGTGTGAATATTTTACCTGCACAGACATGCCAGAAGAGGACTTCAGATCCTCTAGAACTGGAGTTAGGGATACTTGTTAGCTGCCCTGTGGATGCTGGGAACCAAACCCAAGTCCTCTGCAAGAACAGCTTCTGCTCTTAGCCATTGAGCCATCTCTCCAGCCCCCTAAAAAATATTTTTTTTACTACCAAAATTTAAAGTATTGGGGCTGGAGAGATGGCTCAGTGGTTAAGAGTATATACTGCTTTTACCAGAGGACCTGAATTTGGTTCCCAGCACTGAAGTTGAGTGGCTCACACCACCTGTAACTGCAGCTTGAGAGGATCTGGTACCTTTGGCCTTGGACACCTGCACTCATCTGCACATACCCACATTCAGACACACACCACAAAATTAAATATAAAAATTTTCAAAATATTTTTATGTGTATGAATGTTTTACCTGCATGTATGTAAGTGCACCCATGCATGTAATGCTGACAGAGACCAGAGAGGGCGTCAGATCCCCTGGAACTGAAGGATGGTTGTTAGCTGCCATGTGGGTGCTGGGATCTGAACCCAGGTCCTCTGCAAGAGCAGCCAGTGCTCTTAACCACTGAGCCACCTCTCCATTAAATACAAATTTCTAAAAAGAAATTTTCTAAAATTTAAACAAGGTATATGAATAACTCATTTCTTAGATACTATCTGATATATATTCAGTGCACCAAAATTTAAGGAGATAAAAGAGGGCTGGAGAGATGGTTCAGTGGTTAAGAGTGTATACTTCTCTTGCAGAAGACCCTGATTTTATTCCCAGCACCCACATCAGGCAGCTCACAACTGCCAGATCCAGGGGATCTTATGCCCTCTTCTGGTCTCTCTGGACACCTGCACACGTGTACATACATACACTCAGGTACCACACATATACAAAAATAAAATTTTTAAAAAATAAAAGAACCGCCAGGTGTGCTGGTGCATGCCTTTAATCCCAGCACTCGGGAGGCAGAGGCAGGACGATCTCTGTGAGTTTGAGGCCAGCCTGGTCTCCATGGTTAATCCAGGACAGCTGGGGCTACAGAGAGACCTGAGTGTTACTACTTTGAGGTATTAATGTGTCTTGAGGAGTTGTCAGTAGCAGAACAGACTTGTCCCTTGCTCTGTAGCATAGTCCAAACAGTTGATTTATCATGATTGATTTAATCTTCCATGATTGGCATTTCCGAGGGTGTAATTTTTACTTTATTTTTTCCTATTATAAAGAAGCAATGAGGACTGGAGAGATGGCTCAGTGGTTAAGAGCACTGGCTGCTCTTGCAGAAAACCCAGGTTTGAATCCCAGCTACCCACATGGTGGCTAATAACCATCTGTAACTCCAGTTCCAGGGGAACTGACACCTTGTCTGTCGTCCACGGGCACTAGATGACACAGGTGCACTTACATACATGCAGGCATAATACTCTTAAATAAATAAATAAATAAATAAATAATAAAAGAACCAAGAACAGTGACTCATATCTGTGATCCCAGCATTCAGAGAGCTTAGGCATGAAGAGTGCCTTGACTACAAGGCCAGCCTAGGCTATATATACTAAGCTCTAGGCCTGGGTCATAGTGAGAACTTGTCACAAAAAAGAATAAAAGCTGGGTGTGGTACCACATCTTTAATCCTAGTACTGGGGAGGCAGAGGCAGGTGGATCTCTATGAGATGGAATCCAGCCTGGTCTACATAATGAGTTCCAGGCCAGCTGGGCCTACAGGGAGATCCTGTCTCGAAATAATAATAAGTAATCCAGGGGATGGAGAGATGGCTCAGCAGTTAGGAGCACTTGGTGATATGGCAGAGATCCAGGTTCAGCTCCAGAATCCACATTAGGCAGTTTACAACGGCCTATAATTCCAGTTCCAAAGGATCCGATGCCCTCCTCTGACCTCTTCAGGTATCTACATGTGGTGCATATACACTCAGGCATACACACGCACATAAATAAATCTTACTGAAA